TATCAGGATCCTGCGTAGTTCCGCACGCGCTGCCAGAGGAACTGCTCTGGCCTTTCGCTTTTGGCTTCGCAGCGCCCGTTTGGATATCGTGCTCCACTACCGTGCGTTTGCGTGAGCTCTTGGTCCGTCACCGCGAAAACATCTTGGAAAGTGTTGTACTTTGTTTTCTAACAGTTCGTTCCAACTTCCCTCGGATTGTTCTCCTGGAGCAATCCTACTAGAATTTTCCAACGGTCGTCGATTGGTGCGCTAGTGCGTTCAAGCATGTTCGCGCAATCTACTGGTGACTTTTCAACGATAAGACTCTGGTCCCAGAAGCCCACCTTTTCCCCCTGCTCGGAAGATTCTAGTTCCTCCTGTTATATTAGTCAGTGGCACGCTCAAGGCTTGCCCGGATCTACAAACAGCATGGGGTATTAAGTCACAGTTGGACCAAAGAATTTGTGCGGAGTCCGAAGGGCTACCGGCGATTGAAACTGTTTTCGTTTCTCCTGATTTGAGGTAAACCCTTGCCACTACCGCTGCCTTGAGAACCTTATTCTCCTTCCTTAACGAGAGGCTCTTTGTCTCTGTCCTGGCTTTAGCTATCGCATCACTCTTCAAAGGTTTCGTCTGACTCTTTCTCCTTGAGCGGTATGGTCTGGGTGCTCGCATGTTGTGTCTTTGAGTGACTAGATGACGTCCGAACGCTTACCGAATGTCTCTTTAGCTGCACCGACGGTTCCAGCAGCGTTTTCGTTCCAACCGAGCCTAGGATGTTCGTTCCCAATACGATCGTATCATCGTTCCCTGCTCTCACACAGAATACCACTCATTTTTTGGGCTTAAAGCTGAGTCTAACTGCACCTTTGAATGCCATTTTTCGTCCCGAAGCATCGTAGATTTTTATGCGATCTTCCATCTTCACCTCTTCGACGTCTGCGTCCAGATCGAACCCAGCCTCTTTTCGCGTCCAGCAGTATGCTTAGCGGCAGGATACTCACTCGGGATCCTGTATCAACCAGCGCTCTCCTAGTAAATCCTAGGAGTTGCACGTTGGTTTGCCAGCATAGTTTTGCTGCCGATAATTCATTTTTGCTGTGGTGCAACCCTGAAGTGAGACAAGACCAATTACCGAGAACCGTGGTGAAGGTGCGTTTCGGCTGTTTTGGGCAAACATTATTGGGTGACAGTGCGTGCTCTGAGTTTTGCTGCCCAGCCCCTTGTTGCCTCTTGTCACAGTCTCGTAGGAGGTGTCCCGGCTTTTTGCAGATCCGGCAGAAGCCGCGGTCTGCTTGTGGTGGTAGGCTATCATGTTGTATGGGTGATTGGGAGCTTTGTTCTCCGCTATCTTGAGATCGGTTTTGAACGTTTCTAGCTCGATCTGCGCTTTCTTCAACTTTCTGGAATGGGAAGGATCGTCGCGGTTTTCTTTGCTCGTTCACTTGCTTCAATTCAGAGGCGGACCTCGTTGCCGCAGCTACCTTTTTATTTCTTTCAATCCCTTGTGCGAGATTTTCGAGCTTTTCGTAAGCCTGGTGCGCTGGTGGGCTGACTCCATAAAGGCGAAGAGCTGGAAATATCCTTGACAGTTGGTGATCTGTGACACTAGTTCGCTGGCCCTCGCCATCGATAAGTCAGCTTCGGAGGCGCTGGGATTTGCTTTCCAAGTCAAGCTCTCCACAAATTCCACGAAACCTTCACCATCGGGGTTACTGAAGTTTTTCACCTCCGGAAGTGCCATGGCTGCTAAGCTGCCCCTACACCGTTATCGAAGCGAAACTTGTTTCACTGAATGTGGGAGACAAACCTTTCGAGGGATTGCCCCTGACTGGCGAGGGTTGTTCCATGGGTCGTAGCGGCTCGGTCACGGAGACGTTCATCTGAAATGGGGTTCGGTCAACAAACTGCCTCGGACAATAAGAACCATAAGAATGGGCTTGCCTAGATAGTGGCTCACCTTCGGCAGCAGTCACTGCATCGAACTCGATCGGCTGCAGTGCGACATCTGTAGATAAGTCGTTGGCTTTCAGCAACTCAAAAGCTTTGCGAAAGTCACTTTGCTGTGTCTCGATTTGTTCCGTCTCCATAGGAGTCTGCTCCGCATCGGCTTGCGCGGACGTCGAGGGAACCTGCAAAACACAACTTGATCTGGTATTCGCAGTTTCAAAAACTAGCGGTGTCCTTGCTTGCAACACTTTTTTTTCAAGTTTCTGATACGTGTCTGTCAGCATTCACTTGTTGTCGGTCAACTAGGTTGCATACTGTCTTGACCTTTTCTGTAGACTTTACACCTAGCTTTTTCGAAAGCTCACGCATGCAGTAATCATCATGCAGTGTCTGCGCGAAAATTTCGTCTAGTTCTTCGTCGTGCTTTGCATGTGCTTCAGACGCTGCTTCAGTGACTCTGTTCGCGAATTCGCTCAGAGGATCCAGCGCTGTGCGCATTGCTCTGCACTGCGATTCAAGGAGCTTGTCCAGTTCCTTTTCCACTATTTCTGGTGACACACTTTCACCTTCTCTTAGCATAGATGCAACAATTTTTGGCAGTTTTTGCAACTTAGTCAACATTAGATTGCACTGCGAGACTGAAGAAAGAACCTTTTGCTGATTCTGCTGGGTCAGTCGCAGAACTTGGGCTCTCAACTCCAAGAGCTCCTGCTGAAATCCCTCTATTCTGCTGTCTCGTGCCACGTCTTGCTCGAGAATATAGTCCAGCTCTCTTTCGATGTTGTCTGACATTTTGTTGCACCTAAAAAACGTCTTGTTTTCAGTAGAGTATTAACACCCTCTTATCTCAGCGTGTCTTCGTTACTGAATTCACCAGACTGCACGCTTCAACCGCGTTTGTCTCTGAGCTGTCTGTCGAAGAACGGTACGCGCTCTCGTCCGTGATTGCCTATTTCGATGCAACTCGCAGTACTTTGTCCAATCACTCTCAGCAAGCGCTACTTTGGCAAAGTCGTAACAAAATTTGCGCAGCGTTTTGCCTTGTAAAAAAGCTTTTATCTGTCCCTCAGGTGCTTAAGAGCACGGAAGTCGCGTTCTGATTAGCAAACCTTTGGAGGCTGCCAGTCCCGCAGCTTTCTCAAGCCCGCCGCTCTACACGGCCCAATGACTCGATTGCGCTATTCGGGAACTCAGGGATTCCCTAGTTTCCTACTGCACTTCAACATACCTGTTCAGCCGAGCTTGTGTGCTTCGGCCCCCATGTAAAGGGTGTCCGGTCAGGAACCCTTTAGCTAGATATCTAGGGATCAAGTCCCTTCCTTTCTAATGCTCAGGAGACAGGTAGTGAAAACTCACTTCTTTATCCTTAGACAAGCTGCGCGGGAGATCAATGGCGGCCGCGAGACTGTTGCAATAACATTCAAATAGACGTAACATACATATTAGTGGAGATAGAGCAATTCCGAAT